AACTATGCCATGGCGACTCCTAAAGTATCATATACAAATGTTAATATTTGTTGTCATCTTCAACAGGACAACGAGATCAGGACTATACCAGCAGCAAGCCTCCCAGCTAATCTCACACTGATCTCTTTACAAGGTAACCCTATCGAAACTATCCACGACGCCGCCTTTGAAGACTCTATAAACACACTGCAAACACTGTTATTTTGTGGAGCTCGATTCACTGAGATACCACAGGCTGTGCTACGTCTGAAAAATCTAACCACATTGAATATATGTGATACCAACATTAAAACATGGGACGTGGACGCCATGGAAAGGTTAGGTTCAGTAATGGTCACACTCGCTCTAGATGTAGTTGGCTTATCTGAATGGCCAACATGGCTGAAATTCTACAGTAATCTCAAGGAACTGACAGTCTCTGGGGGATCCATATCATCGCTTCCGGACGATGCTTTGAATATGGTCGCTGATACATTAACAACTTTAGGAATTCAAAACAATAGTTTTACCAGCATTCCGAAGGCGATATCTAAACTGACGGCTCTGCAAACTTTATATCTGCATGAAAACAAAATTACAGACATATCCTGGGTACCTCAAAACAGCAAACTATCTACGTTATTTCTAAATAACAACAGAATTTCTAACGGAACCGCACTGAGCAATGCTCTGCTCTTTTTTGCAGATACTTTAATCAATGTTGAGATTCACGATAATCTACTAACAGCGATACCTGAATTGTCTTTCTTGAAACAAGTTCAGAGTTTAGACTTAACAAATAATCGTATTTCAGATACCAGCAGTGGGTCGATTCCTTCTGGTATTTCTGATTTACAAATGGGATACAACCTGTTACATGCAATTCCTAGTGTTATGAAAACCTTGAAGAATGGCATAAACGTGGACTTGTACTCAAACCGTATATCTATGATCCGAGGAGTCGACTACCCGCCTAATACAAACGGTGCCGATTTTGGACACAATCTCTTAACTGAATTAACAAAGTCTTGTTTCCCGGAGAACTCCACTATGGGATTCTTATTGTTGAACTTTAACCCAATTTCTGTTATTTTCCCTGATGCTTTCACCAATCTCCTTCACCTGTCGTCCATCAGTCTGCAGCATACAACGCTAACCCGTATGCCGATGGCGTTTGCGTTACTGCACGATCTAAACATACTCGACGTCAGCGGAAACGATGATCTAATTTGCACATGCCAGGAGAAGGGTTTAGAATCCAGGATTAAAGCAATGCTACCGTACGGTGTTATTGGCGATTGTGGAACTACCAGTGTGTATGTCTTCTTCACGAAGCTAAGTCAAGATTGCCCACCAGTGTCAATTCTCCTAAAATAGAAGAGATCAAAGGCGCCAAGACCTGGGACTTGGGTAACTTAAAAACTCCAATTCCTATACAATATTTATGGCGGACAAACTGCCACTCACCCAACCATGTTTTAGTGTTCATTTTGATTTGACATTGTGTTCATTAGTATCCTATTATATCCAATATGTTTTTTGTATATATTTGTTATTCAGCACATCATTATTACTATTGTACACTTAAAACAAGATTTGTAACCCTTGAACCCCTCAAACAGGGGATATATATATATATATATATATATATATATATATATATATATATATATATATATAAATAAAGATAGATAGATAGATATATACAAGATCCGACAATTAGGTAATTAGACTGATTTTATTATGGCCAAGACAAATATGCCATATAGAAAGCAAAGCATAAAATCTAAAGAGGCAACATTCATCTATGATCTGGCAACTTTTCAACACGGTTCGATAAGCAGACAACATACAAGCTCCCATTTTGTTGACCTAGTCAGAGATACATTGTTACGTAATTACCACGGAGCTAAAAGCTAACTTTAAATTCTTTTTAAAACTCAGAAAAAGTGCATTTAAAACAGTTCAATTGATTCGATAGGTTAATGGGAATAATTGTTTATTTCGTGCAAAGATTTTCCTGTGGTATTCAAGATTCAAAAGTGATGTAGAAATGATTACTAATGCACCTAGACTTGGACACCAAATTTATGTTAGTAATGATGAAATCACTGCAAAAGTCAGAGTACGGATACAAAAAGATCATTGTTTTATTGTTTAGATGATGGCAGATGAATCTGGTGGTAATAGAGAGACCATTCATACAATTGTAATGCTAGAATTTGGCAAGAAAAAAGTTGTTTGCCAGTTTGTACCACATTCATTGTTTTATGACCAAAAACATCCGCGGGTTGAGTACCCAAGAGACATCACCAAAACAAGAATTGTTGGCCCCAAAACAAGTGTGTTTTTCCAGCCTTCTATTCTATTTCCCAGATTTGTCTCCCTGTGATTTTTTTTCTATTCCCAAAATTAAAGTTTCGATTGAAAGGACGCTTTTTTTAACGATTTTAATGACACCCAAAGGGCCCTCACATCGACTTTAGGGGTCATAACAACAGAAGAAATACAGAGGTCGCTCCAGTGTTTGTTAAATCGTGCCACTTGCTGTATCAATGCACTAGGGGCTTACTTTGAACAAAATATAGGTTATATCTTCAACAAGTTATTTTTTAAATTGTTATGGAATTAGCCTTGTTACTTAATTGCTGGACCTTGTATATATATATATATATATATATATGTGTGTGTGTGTGTGTGTTTTTTTTGTGTGTATGTGTGTTTGTGTGTGTTTGTGTGTGTCTGACTTCCAAACTTTCTGGATGGCTTAGGTGTATTTATGGGCAATAACTAAAGATACAGCAGCGGCGGACACACAGATGAAGTTGAGGACGGGGTATTTATTATTCCGGGGCCCTTTTTCAGGGAAAGCAAGTATAGACCCACTGCCTACCCAAATGCATGTCGTAAGAGTCGTCTAATTAGGAGCTTTCTTCGAAGTCGGAGTGCATCTGCCTAAGAGGCATGTAACCAACAGTCAGTTACAATGAATCAGCTCAGTCAAACGGATGCACACGCAGCACTCAAGTTCTAGAACAGGACTGCAGTCCAAAAGAGGACGAACGAATAACCAGAACTTTCCGCCAGAGTATACAGCTAGGAAACGTGAAGAAGAAGAAGAAGAAAGATTGAATATAGGGTTTTAGTAAGAGCCCTATTTCCACCATGCGTACATATAGCGATGGAGACCAGGAAGAGGCAGAAGATGAGAGAAAGAAAAAAAAAACTTTATTTCACTCTCTGATGCGAAGCCGGGCCATTAAATCTAGATATTTGATAAAAAGTAATTATACATTGAACTTTGATGTTTGATCAACAAATCAACATCGTGGTACACGTATAGTAACCCATAAGTGCCCCGTTCTTCTTTTAACTGAAGTCTGAGTCCGAAAAAGCTGAGCACACAGCACAAGCTCTGTAGCACCGGCGAGGATCCTGAAATACTATTTTTCGGGGGAGGGCCGTTGGGCTATTCTTTTCGATTTCAAACTGCCAAGGGAATTTTTACGTGCTCAGCAATGCTACACGGGCGTCCGATCTCACTACCCAGAGACAAGGGGGGAATTACTAGAAGTCCAAGTCTACGTGAAAAAATTCAAGCCCTGACCGGGGATTGAACTCCGCATCTCTAGCACCTGAGGCAGACACCATGCATCGAGACCAAGCAGCCCCCTAAGCAGCTATGGAGATGACAACAATAACCTCACATGCACATTAGTCTTTATTTCAAACATATAATATAATGACACCACTGAATGTGATAATAACTAATTTAATAACACCATACATGAGATTATGCTTTGCTTTTTATTTCAGTGGCAAAAATTAATTCATAATATGCACATTCCGCGACGACTGCACTAGCCATAAGGTACCAAATTCCCTGGCTCAAAGACTCCACTATCCGTGTCCCCTTTCTGATACCCACTCCATCACAGAGTTGTGTAAACAGGCACTAATGCACATTTTTTTTAAATACACGACATAACATGGAAGGCGGAGTGAAAAGTTGAATTATATGTATTAGTTTGCTATTTAGTCCTGGCTGACCACTTTTATACACCAGAGTAAGTTAACTCTTTCAGTCCCAAACAATGTGTGATGAGTAATCAGCACTGTTATAAATCCCACCCAACATGTAGTATGTTCTAGTCGTTTTCATTGTTGGTCACAGCATACTAAGAAATCTGGCCTTGCCAGTAATTAACGTCTTTATAATTATTACCCTGGTGGATTTCACTAGTGATTATTTATAGAAACGGGAATCTCCGGTAAAACCCTCTGGTACTCAAGAAGTTAAGGGTCTGTTATGTGTTGTAACAACAACAACAGCACGGCAGTTTGATGAACTACCATTGCATAATAGCAATGTAATAGTACTGTATCTAGAAACAAGTGGTGCGTGGATTAGACCTGATACTCTCAATTTACCGTTCAAAACATTATACACAGTCATAGTATAATGTTTGAAACCTTGCATATTGAATGGCAGTCAAAGATTTAACATTAGAATTAAACATTCTAATGTAAATTCATTACTGTAGTATGGAGCGGGAACTGGGGGACAATTGAGGCAGTTACTAATAAACTACAAAGAGTAATTATCTGGTCCTGTGCGAAACAGAGGGCATTAAATATTATGATAGAATCAATAACATTGCGCTGTGGGAGAGAACTAAACACGTTTCAGTGGACCAAGAGGTGAAGAAAAGACGCTGGTTTTGGATAGGACACACTCTGAGTAAACAAGAGAGCGATATAACTAGAATGTTTTTGCATTGAAACCCACAAAGGCAGAGGAATAAGTAAAGACCCCTGTCACTTTCCTCCCCTACCATTCCCCCTCCTGAAATGAAAAAAAAGAATTAAAAAAAAAAGTGAGAAGGGAGCTAGAGAGTAAAGTTACAGAGATGAGGAGGACTTGGGATGAGCTGGAAGTAACGATTTGGCGTGAGTTAGTTCAGGACCTATGCTCCAGCTGGTGATAAAAGGCAGAAGAAGAAGAAAGAAGATTACTGAGATTAACAGGCAGAGCTATAGTTGGCAAAGAATTCATATATACTTGTGTCGCCACAATTTCCATGAACGTCTCCGGACAATACGGGAGTCAACACTGGCGCTAGAGACTTCTCCTCACAAGTACAGACTAGCTCAGTGCAGTTAGTTGCATCAAAAACAATTAATGTGGACACAGATGCTAATGCAAGAGGTAGACGGGTTATTTTTGTTTCTGCAAGGTTCACTAGAGTCAGTTTGGGAAAATTGTGGAAAGCTTTGTTGGAAATATGATTAATTGGATTATTGTTTAAGTGTAAATATTGTATTGTAGAATTGACAGGGAATGTTGTGTCTTCCAGTTCTGTGATCAGGTTGTGTCCAAGGAAAACCCATATGACCCCGGGAGGGAAATCCTCAGCCGTAATCTGGCGAACCATGTTTGAAATCATTTCTAGTTCTATTAAACGTGTCAGGTTTGACAAAGCTTTGGGAATGAAAGGGAGAAGGTTGTGTTCTAGATTCACCTCAAACATATCCACAGGGAAGGATCCTAAATTTGGGTCTGCTATTCTATTGTATGATAAGTCCACCTTTTTGAGGTTTGACAAAAAGTCTAACTCTGGAATGGCTGTTAGTTGGTTTACTTGTAATGTTAGAGTTCTCAGAGAGTCAGATGATGAGCGGAGAACGTTGCTCAAAAACTGACCGTCGGAGATATTATTATGATCGAGAATTAGGGAAGTCAGCTGTGATCGAGGTAGCCAGGTAATACTGGATATTTTATTGTTCCCCAAATTTAGTTTTTTTAGTGCAGGCAAATTTGAAATGGCTTTTGGAACTTCCGTTAAACTGTTATTAAATAACGAAATAATTGTTATGTTACCATCTGCAGTATCTAAGGAATTGTCCGGAAGAGAAGTCACTAAACAACTTTCTAAATTTAACTCTTGAATGCCTGAAAGATACTGAATCCAAGATGGCGATAGTACTACGCCAGCATTTCTCAGAAATAAACTCTCGAGCGTTAAGCCAATCTCTTTCATAACATTTACATTCCAGTCAATTACATTGGAGTCATAAATCGAAAGGTACTTTAAAGCTTTCAAATGTGTCAGGGCATCTGGAAGTTTCGAGAACTTGGCTCCCCAGAAAGATAGCAGCTCCAGTGTGTCAGCGGATCCGATAAATGCATTGTCGTCTATAGATTCAACTGGGTTGTAATCAAAGCTAATTTCAGTTAAGTTTGCAGGAAGATGACCAGCTGGGATGTCTTTGATGTTATTCGTCTATGAAACAATATAATATAATTTACTAAGTGTTTAGATATTTTCATATGTAATTATTTGACAGTGATATCGCTTACAATAAGTCAAAGTCCAATCATCTATAAACATAAAATTACCGAGTTTACCAAGTGTGTAAAAATATTAACCTGCAAGGATTCGATAGTGATAACCTTTACAATAAATCAATGTGTCCAATTATCTATGAAAATAAAATAACAGAGTCTACACAGTGTATACAAATGTAAAGCTGCAATAATGCAACAGCAATGTCGCTTACAAAACACTGCACACCCTATTACTGGATATTTCAAAGAAAAAGAAAACGTAAAGCTAGTCACCGATGTACAAAATAGATGTCGAATTAAGAATCGACTCACAGCACTCGGGACAATCCCATAAGTGCTCCGTCCCCATCTTCAGCAGCAGGCGAAAAGTTCCAGTTCCGATGGTACCAGTAACTGTCAGACTGTATATCCGTCTCATCCTTCTCCTGAGTGTTGAGCGACGGCCAGATCCCCTGGTAACTTCTCGCAGCGACATTCTCCTCAAACCGAAATGATCCCATTGCGCCTCCGCACTGTTCACTCGTTCCCAAAGGACCCTCACATTATCTAGCTTGTCACACATCAATTCACCACCAAGTGGTGCAGAGCCACAAGTCTATCTACCAGTTCATTTTTCAACAGGCCGGCATGACATGGAGACAATATCCAAAATATGATAATTTGCCAGGACTTCTGAAGTGATGCTTGCTACTCTGCACGTAGCATGCCTGATTTCACCTGTACAAAATAGATGTACAGGTGCACTACAATTTATAGTGTTACGATGACCACATCAACCACTGAGTGCCAACTGGTCTACAAAATACCTGATGGGCCACTGACGGTGGGGTTTTTTTACTTTTTGGTCCTTTCTGTTTAGGTATTCTTCTTCTTCTTCTTCGCGTTCACCAGCTGTACACTCTGGCGGAAGGTTCTGGCTGCTCGTCCACTACTGAACTGCAGTCCTGCTCCAGAAGCTGAGTGTTGCGTGTGCATCAGTTTTACAGATCTCATTCTCTTTAATACAGACTGTTGGTTCCTTGCAGATGCACTCCGACTTCAAAGGAAGCTCCCTAATTAGTCGACTCTTAAGACATGCTTTTGGGGAGGCAGTGGGTCTATTCTTGTTTTCCCCACAAGGGGGCCCCGGAACCCACACGGGGGTTTGTTTAGGTATTGAATCTCTCGAAAGCTGTCGAAGCTTTGCTCCTGCGATGCCTGTCAATATCTATTTTTGCCATTCACTATAGTTCTCAAGAAGTCGAAATAGAAACACTGACTTTAGTTCCCAGATCACGTAGCGAGAAGTCGAAATCAGAAAATTGGGATGTACAACCAAGGTGAGAGATAGAGTGTGTTGTTTAGACTTATAAATGATAAGATATGCAGCTTACATCAAACATTAGCCATGTCAGACCTGCCGTGTTGCTGCTGACTATCTCCGGTGTTGCATTAAATCCTCTGTTAACACAGAAAACGGTTCTTCCCTCGCAGAAGCATTCCTGAAATCAAAGTGATGTTTTGTAATCGTAAATGGTAATAAACACAACCAAAAAGATCGATGGATCAGTTTGTCCACTCCAAGATGCTACCTAAAGATTGATCATACCATCCTATGATAAAATGTATCCATAAAGATGGCAGACTAACAAGCCAGAACCAATATCTTCTTCTTATACTTCTGGAATGCCTCACTCGTCATGGCAGGAAGAGATCTCTTGAATTGGCCATTCTGTTCGCTTCGTATAAAGTACTGTTCATTGTCTCTTATATTTCTGCGGTGCATATTCTGTGTGGTCGACGTCTGTTACCGTTGTGTTTGTGTAACATCGCTCTCTGTGGTGCCGTGTCTGATGCCCAGTATTCAGTTTAATCTCCGAGGAGGTTATGACTAGGACATGCTTCGCAGTTCAAACAGTTAGGTGTACGCTACTGTCATAGGCAGGTACGGGTAAAATGTCTCAGTATTATAGCTCTTTAGATGAGCGGCTGATCGAGCACTTACAACCTGGATCTCTCATGCGGGAGACCAAGGTTCGACTCCCGGCAAGGTGATGCAGTTTTCATGTCGAGGAAGATATTATGGAAATCAAAAAAGATCACTTCTGTAATCGTTCTTCACACTGTGCATACTGTTGGCAAAGTGGACCAACTACAGATTCACATTAAGAAGATTTCTGTAAGTTCCGCCATTCTTCTCTTCTTCTTCTTGAGCATTCCGACCCATTGAGGTTCATTGCTGCAGATATCGCCCGCCTTCTTTCATATCTCTGGTTGGCCTTTACTTTCCAGTTGATGATACCAAGGGTTTGCAAGTCTGCTTGGACATTATCTCTCCTTGGTCTTCTTGGTCTGCCTCGTGGTCTACGACCATTGATCTCCCTGGTGTATACAGTTTTTACTTCTCTGTCATCTAACATTCTCTCAATATGCCCCAACCATTTCAGTCTATTAGCTCTCATGACGCTACTTATCGATGGTACGTCCTTTGATTAGACTAATTAATCGGTTCAAACAATTCCAAAGAAATTTTAACTGCTTTAAATTAAAGTGTAATCGCTACTCTCTGCTCCTGAAAGACGTTCATCCAAAACTCTGAACTTGTTGAACATTCACTCTCCTCATACCTTTGATTCCCAGAGCCCCATTATGTGGAAACGGTTTCTGCTGCAAATATTTAGTATTGCATCCATTTGGCAAGCGATCAGAAAATTGTGCGTTTTTGTTTCTTTAGACGGCACATTATCTTCGGTAAGGTTCACATTTTTCTGTCAGATACAACATCATCATCATCATCATCATATAGCAGGTCCTTTGCAAAGTGGAGCTCTCATCAAGGTCTGCATGAAAGAAACTTAATCTCTCGCAAGCTCTCCCGCCTGATGTACTTTCATACTCAAGGAGTCACTTGTATCCTTTTCCCATCTTAGTGTTGGTTTACCACTGTCTCTCCTTCCTGGTACCATGCCTTCTGTTATTAGTTTTCCGATTCCGTCGTGGCGCTTGATACTGCCAAACAATTTCAGCTTCCGAGGCAAAATGCTGTTTATTAGCCAATCTTCCTTGATGTTTAGATCTTTCAAGATGTCAGTATTTCTACTCTTCTTTGTCCAGGGTATTCTGAGAGTCTTTCGATAACATTTCAGCTCAAAGGCCCTTATTCTCTTTCTTAAGGACTGGGGGATAGTGCATGAGTCACATCTGTATGTTGCTACAGGGAAGATGCATGTTCTCAAAAGAGTTAGGTAATCCTGTCCATTTCCTAAAGAGTGAATTGGTCATAGCAGCAGATAGCTCGCTTGTCACGCCTTTAGGCGCATCTGGTATATGGGAAGAGCGCCCATACTTTTTCAGACCATCAGCAATAGGTAGGTAATGTGGTCAGCATTACGCCAGCCGTCTTTACTTCCCCATGAAAGCCATACTGGTACCCATTTTAGGCTGGGTTGACCTGCGACGCCCCATACCACGATAAAATTCCACGCAGCGCATTGGTCGTACTCGGCTCTAAACAAAGCAAAGGCAGCATAGACATCATTCACATGCAACATGGTAACTCCAGCACCGGAAAAACTAGGTGCAGTCTACTTCACTTTCAAAAAACTTATTGTTTTTATATTTAACATGGTAGCGGATTTTGTTTGTAGTTTAATCTACCTGCTGTAAGTATGTTGAATATATTGGCCCCACAAGGGCCGCGCATTGGGTCACTAATCGGTTGATAATTCTCAGGCACAGATCCTTGAAATTCTGTTCATCTAAGATGTCATAAAGGGGATCTCGACGGTAACGAAATAGTCTGAAGTGTGGGGGGGGGGGGGGGGATAGCTCTCTAAGTGCCTTGAAAACAGTAGATACTTATAGTGTTCTGGCATTCGCGGGCGTAGACGGGAATAAAAGAGCTGATAGGTTGGCTCGATCAGCTATCACTGCCGACGGTCAAACTATGGATCATGCCGATGTTATTATTGCCCTCGAGAATGGGAAGGGTAGAGGCATTTAGAGGGGCATTGAATCCACATCACTCGCCAGAATGATAAGACTTGGGAGTTCAGATCGGCATAGCAAAAAACGATACGCATACCAGGCACACTAGAGGAATGGTCAGTCAACACAGAACTGGTACTATTAGCCCCCGGACGTTGGGGTTCATACTGAGGGGAGGATCTAAGCGACTGTGGACATGTCTGGAGTGCAATGATGATAACCGAGCTAGCTAACTAGCTATCTAACTAACTAACTAGCTAACTAACTAACTAACTAACTAACTAACTAACTAACTAACTAACTAACTGGCATATTGCGATCTTCCCACAAACGATATTTGCCGACGTGGATTATGAGGCAAGAGCGGATCTTTTCCACGGTCCAAATGTGCTACTACTGCATAAAGGTCTTTTTATTAAATGGCCATCAGTGGGATCTAATCTTAAATTGTTGTGGATTGTGAAGCCCCATTAATCTACAGACCACAAAGCAATACATTTACATACATTCTATCGACTATACAAACCTTGTAGGGGCAGTCAAATCCGGACACTTGAAGAAAAAGCAGATAGTAGAAAATACTGGGTATCGTCCAGCAGACATTTCTCATCGCGAAAGTGACTAGTCTAAATGATCAGAATGGTATACAGTTCTAATATCATTTATATTCTCTATATTGCTATACACTATAGTGTGAATTGTTGTGCTCATTAAAAAAAAATCAATTGCCAGTTGGAAATCGAAAAGATTAGCCGAACGGAGTTGCCCAGGCACAATTTAGAGTAAAATTTTGATTTAAAAATCTACCAAAAGCATTTCAGGATCCTCGCCGGTGCTACAGAGCCTGTGCACTGTGCTAAGCTTCTTTGAACTTAGACTTGAGTTAGAAGAAGAACGGTGCACTTATGGGTTTACTACCCGTGTGCCATGATGTTGATGAGTTGTTTAAAACCTGTTTTTTTTCGCATTAAAAGGTAAATCTGGTATACAGAAATTAATGTCACATCAAAGGATAAAAAATAAAAGAAACGCCAATGTGATCTGATACTAGTTTATCTTTTTAACGATTATCATGTATAAACTACCAGTGAAGTGATTAATCAGTAATCCAATTTAACTCACCAGTGCCGTGATTAAACAGTAATCATGTTTAACTTAAAAGCGTCGTGATTAAATATTATTCATGTTTAACTTACCAGTAAGTAAAGTGACTGAACGTTTCAACGCATTCCGGCTTACTGGGCATAAAGGGCTAGACCTCTATTTGATTGAACAATCGGCACTTGGTCAGCATCATGCCAGATACTAGTATCGTGGTTAAACAGTAATCATGTTCAACTTGCTTATATCGTGGTTAAACAGTAATCATGTTCAACTTGCTTATATCGTGATTAAACAGTAATAATGTTCAACTTGTTTATATCGTGATTAAACAGTAATCATGTTCAACTTGCTTATATCGTGGTTAAACAGTAATCATGTTCAACTTACTTATATCGTGATTAAACAGTAATCATGTTTAACTTACTAGTGTTGTGATCAAACATTAATCATGTTCAAGTTACTAAAATCGTGATTAGACAGTAATCATGTTACACTTACTAGTATCCTGATTAAACAGTAATCATTTTCAACTTACTTATATCGTGATTAAACAGTAATCATGTTCAATTTACTTGTATCGTGATTAAACGGTAATCATGTTTAACTTGCATGTGTTGTGATTGAACACTCATCTTGTTTAACTTACCAGTGTCGTGATTGAACATTAATAATGTTTACCTTACTAGTGACGTGATTGAACATTAATCATGTTTAACTTACATTGTCGTGAATGAACATTAACCATGTTGAACTTACCAGTGTCGTGATTGAACATTAATCATGTTTAACTTACCAGTGTCGTGATTGAACATTAATCCTGTTTAAATTACCAGTGTCGTGATTGAATATCAATCATGTTTAACTTACCAGTGTCGTGATTAAATATCAATCATGTTTAACCTACCAGTGTTGTGATTGAACATTATTCGTGTTTATCTTATCAGTGTCGTGACTGAACATTATTCATGTTTAACTTACCAGTGTCGTGATTGAACATTAATCATGTTTAACATACCAGTGTCGTGATTGAACATTAATCATGTTTAGCTTACCAGTGTCGTGATTGAACATTAATCATGTTTAACTTACTTATATCGTGATTGAACATTAATCATGTTTAACTTACTAGTGTCGTGATTGAACACTAATAATGTTTAACTTACCAGTGTCGTGATTGATAAGTATTCATTTTTAACTTACCAGTGTCGTGATTGAACATTAATCATGTTTCAATTACCAGTTTCGTTTTTGAACATTAATCATGTTTAACTTACCAGTGTCGTGATTAAACATTAATCATGTTTAACATACTAGTGTCGTGTTTGAACATTAATCATGTTTAACTTACTAATGTCATGACTGAACATTAATCATGTTTAATTTACTAGTGTCGTAATTGAACATTAATCAT